AGAGCCCGGATTCTCAATTACCGTTCTGGAGTAGCTGGGAGAACAGACTTGTCCGATACTGGGATGTAAGATTCAACTATCTGCTCTGCTTTGACAATTACTAACCGAAATAGTCTGTTCTGTGGCGAGTCAATCCCCGAGGTGACACCAGCAAAGCGCTTACGCGTTCCAGTTTCCGGACATCGGGTAATGATCCATCAGTATCGATTGCTCAATAGCCATGCAGTTCAAACAGAAGCACTGTGACTCGAAGAACACAGACGGNCACTATTTAATCCCATTGATTTTTTTAAATAAAACCGCTACTCGTGCGTGTCGGTGATGAGGGATTCCAATGTACGGTTACTAGTGCTATTCTGTGCTTCATTTGCGACCGTAATTCGTGATCCGTAATACGCACCAGCTTCGACTATTACATCTACAAAGTTCAGTTCAGATCAGTTTTTTACAACCATTATTCATGCACTTTCGTACGCCAGTTTTGATTGCTGTCTTTTGGTGCCCCATTTGGATAAAAGAGTAGAATGAAAATTGGAATGTTGAAAGCAAATTCAAGCGAGAGGTGGAGAATTCATATAGAATGTTGTTAGGGGAATAATGAGGGGATGCACGAGCGCTACTGNCAGCCATATCACTCAGTGTAGCTAACTATCGGTGACCATCATCCCGAGGTGACCAGCCGAGGAGCCTAACGGAGCCTATGTGACCTAGTCTCCAGGTGAGGGTTTTCATAACCTCATGCCAGGTCTTCGTTTGGCCACTCTTGATCTCCTTCCAACCACTACCTACCTCGACAACCCGGTTTGGAAAAAACAATCGGTTCGACACGACCATGGCAAACGTGCCAGGAAAACAATCTCTTGGAAATCGGAGGAGGAATGTGATGTGGATGTAGCCACAGTGCTATTTAACAGGCGGTGAGAACCAACCACAGGGATGGGATGGCGAAGTAATACCTAAAAGCGGGTCTGGGGCGACAGGTTGCAACCGTAATCACGGAAAGACTGAGAGAGTAGACAACAGACACTAGGAAGGTGTCTGGGGTGGTCAAGCAAACAAGGCGGGAGGTAGCATGTGGGCCAAGAGATAACCGTTTAACGAGACAGACATTGACGAGTGACAACAGTGAAGACGATGAGATAGGTATAGCGGGTGGTGATGAACAGGTGGCCACAAATAATAAGTGGCAGTTTCTATACCGGGTCGAGATAATAGATAACCTAATGGGTTGAGTGGAGAACGAGTGATATAGTTTCCATGTGGGGTGGAGATAATAGATTACGACAATAAGTTGGACGACGAACGGGTTACGATAATTAATACGAAAGTTGCTATGTGGGACGGTTAGGTAATCATAGGGGGATTTGGAAAAGTGTCAAGTGTCAATGACCATGGAGGGAGAAGGCAGGAAGTTCCGATTCGGCGGGCAAAGGTCATCCATCAAGCTGGGAAGTGGCTAGTACCGTACATGAATTGATGGGTTTTGAACAGAATACAGATAGGTCCGGTGTGCATAATTTCAATCACACAATAAAGTATCTTACCGGCCGGTTGTATTCTGCTCATGCTAAATTTGATCAGTCTAGGTTGTTTTGGTCATTGATAAATTGGGCGGTAAAACAGGTCGAGTTTCACAACTGTATTCCGTGCCCGGTCATCTTGCTCGTTGTCCAAAGGAGACTTTGTTAACGAAAACTTCGGTACTCACCGCGCAACTCATAATGTTGACGAAGTGAACACTACTATATACGAGGCGGATATTGCGTGTGACGGTTTTGACAGATACAAAATCATTCAGAGCAGAATATGGTTTACACAACCATCACATTCAGAAACTGACTACTTCAGCGCTCATCAGTTGTTAGTTCAGACGAAGTTCCCCCTTGTTATGCACATGTAAGGGATTCATGCAAGATCATCGAAGGATCTATTCAACCCCAATTTGATTTCTCAGATATCCTCAACGATTTGATCTCAGTGGGGCCAGTACAGTCTCAATACCGTTGGAACTACGAAACAGTAACTTGGACCTATTTTCAGATCTGAAACGGCTGAGTTCCCCAACATGATTTTTTAAAAAGTAATATTCCCTTTGTTTTACCTATGAAACTAAACAGTAAATCAACCCTAATGTAGATGGGTGGCTCAGTTTAACATGACCCCACCACTACCACCGAATGATCTTACTTCCTTTTGGTCTGCACTATAGCCCTCTGATTCTCCGCTTCCCTCTCATGAAAGTAAGTTATACGTTAGCCTACTCAATAGAAGGAAACGAAAGGTCACTAATTTTATTATTATTATTAATCCAATAAAATATCCCACACAATGGATTCCCCTGGTTTCTTTTTATGTATAGGGGAAAACGCTCACTAATCTTATAAAGTAGTTATATAAAGGTGACCAGTTTTAATTGCGATGGAAATTGTTGTGATGACCGACAAAGAGCACCGAAACAGCTGCTTCATACTGTTTTGGGGACTTGTCAGCAGTGCTTAATTTTTATGTGTCCCTGTGAGGACTTCAACCTCGCTAATCCAAACTTCATAATTTAAAATTGATCGAGCCATTTGCACAAGTTATTGGTCGTCCACCGTGTAGCTCAAGGGTAAGGTTTTGGAGACGCGACCCGAAAGTTCTTGGTTCGAGTCCTGATAGGGACGCTAAAGTGTGCACTGTTGACTAGTCCCAAACAGGATAGGAAACAGCTGTCCGGACGCTCTTTATCGGTCATCGTTAGGATTTCCATTGCAATTTAAAGTATTTAATTGGTGGGGCGTTAATAATCTCCCAAGGCGAGAAACCTACACCGAAGATCATCAGGAATGTCTGGCACCTCTGAACAATCGAATGGGCAAATCCAATCTTGGGACTCTAAAAGGGACCAGTTTTTTCTGGAAAAAGAAGGATTCGTGGAAGCTGCATCGTGCCACTGCTTAAAAATGCCAAATGCGTTATCCTCATCCTTTAGATTAGATTTGATCTGATTACAAATGGTGATGAGAACGCCTTCGTTTTCGATTCACCGAAACGCACTTCAGCATGTATTTGATAGACCTCTAGCATGTTCTCATATAGTCCAGATGACAAACTGCCCTTACAGTACTCGATCGCTTTGTGCACTATACCCTACCCTATCTCATCTGTAGGCAGCTCGTCCACATCTTGACGCAANCACGCGACTGCACCGCACGCGTAACACGGACCCAAACCTCCTAGGTCCACTCACACAAATTCATTTTTACATCTAATGTTCCACTGAAACGTTATCAAAGAAAAACTTTACTTTGAGTTCCGACTGAGCACAGAGAATAATTCACGAAAAAAGCAAGTAGTTTGTCCGTTTGTAGCAAATACACGTGCAGTCAGTGAGCGAGCCAAAGCATACACATACAAACGGTCCATCCACCTGAATGAATATGCAAACGGACAGTTGAGAACCTCAGTGGTCCATAATCACTTCGTTTATCCCGACTGAGCATCAGCAGTTTACCGTTCATCAATACCTAATTCCCGTTCCACGTTCTGTCTTAACGGGTTAGTGCCGAGAAGTGGTGCACCACAATGTCGATTACTATCTGATGACATCCGACTCATCCAACGACATTACCAGATTGATGTCAAATAATTTAGTTTTTCACAAGTAACCATTCCTCCCAGAAATCTCTTATTTGTCGTTTAACCGTGAGACTTCAGTTGTGAATCTTTATTATTGTGTTAGGACGGAGCTCACGGATGCGCGTCACATCACAAGCACGCTCGCAACGTTAATTGAGTCCGGATTGGACGAGAAGGACGAATCAGACATCCGTCGTTCGATCGATGACCAGAGCGTAAAGGACGCAATCTCATTGGTGCGACACCACGTGGTTTCCCGTACGCCCAATTTACCCACTAATATATGCGCATCGATCGCATGATGATCATACGATACACTCTGACTGTTGTCCTGCGGTGGTGTTCTTTCTCTCCCGTATTATTGTGGGTGCCTAGGCAAGAGGAGTTAGTATTGATCGTACGTAGAGGCAGAACATAATATATTATCGCACATTAAAACCTGTAAGCAGGCATTCACGCCTGATGTTTTGATCTGCAATCGGCGATGTAGATATTTTTTTTATGGTGTGTTTCTCAAGCAATTTATGAAGGAGCACAAAGCTAAAAGCGTCGATTCTACGTTGTTTCCTTGTAGTGACCATTGATTTCAAGTTCTTTTTTGTCTTTTCCGCCAAGTAGGTTTAGGGTAGGCTGGATTGCATGTACATATATTATCTTTTCGGTTTACAAGATGCGTGAGTGAATTCTTCTAATCTGACCACTGAATTTCACCGGTTTTATTCTAATCTCGTTATCCACAAAAAAATCAGTTTGAAGAAATGAAGGCATCATCCTCGTTACACATTCACCTACACGTAACTCCGCGAGATATATATGTATGGTCCTCTTATCCATGGATAATCCTCGCGCCAGATATACATGGAACCAGATAATAACAGAAGCTCGACCACAGTGCATTAAATCTACGTTGCTGAACGTTAGTCCGGGGAGGAATTCGTTGCGAAAACCTGTATTCAAGACCGAAAAACAATGCTTTCGCGGGACTGCAAACCTTTTACCCACATGGGGAACGGGAGCGAAGCACGGAACAACAGAAATGAGCCTATTGCTCGAAGCTAATATACTTTATTACTACCCGTCTTTATGAAAGAAACGACCAAACGCAGCCGAGTGAGTGCCTACAGTACAATAGTGGACTTATTGATGAAGAGCGAAAACGGAGAACACTGACGTCGAATTAGTTCTCGACTGGCATAGAATTCATGAAAGTGTTTGTTTGTCATTTGTATAATCATCCAAACCGACTGATAGTGGGGCAAATACAGTGAGCATCACTAGAAATCAGTGATTCTCAAGGTCATGTATATATATTGAGAAAGGGGAGCATTTTGATCTATCCAGTAAACGGTGTTTTCTTGTTCTTCAGGTAATCTCTATTTTCCTCATGTGAGCTGTGTTTTTACAACGTAATCCAACCACTCCAAACGGTTGCCCAGGCGATCCGAATTCGTCGGTCTTCCGGCCTGTACCCACTGTGCGTACACTTCCTCAATTATATCCATGATCTGAATCAGGGGGACAAATGCAGTATTTTCAGGTAATTTATAAAAGTCCACTTTGATGTCTTCATCATTGATTGAACACCGTTCCGGAGAGAGCAACAGTAGATGGTCTCCCGGTTTGAAAGTGCTCCCGGACGAGGGAACGTACAAGGTTGAGTTCCACCAGGTATAGCCATCTGGATCGATACGAGTGACACGAATGCCGTGATAACCGGACTGAGTTACAGATTGCATCATTATGACGAACAGATTGTTTGGTACAGTTCTCACAATCTGTTCCATGTTCTCCAGTAACCATGCTCTTGACACACTCGGTAGCTTGAAAAGTGATTTCGGTTCCGGTCTTTTCTGCGTCGTGATCGATTGGCGCTGCTTCTGACGGAACAGTGGATGGGGACCTGCAATATGTTGTTAGTTTTGTTCATTTATGATAGTATTTAAATCAGTCTTACGTATTATTTGATTTGTCACCAAATCTGGTTGAAGTATGAACAGAACAAACACGAGCAAAACAGCCAACAGGCGGATTGGGAGCATCTTCACGCACAACTGAGCAGTGTTCAAGGGGAAATCAACTCTATCCCGATGACAACAAGCTTTTATAAGAAAGGCACCAGTCGTAACCTCACTTCCTACCTACCTGGATTCATGTGACGCAATCGGATAGAACAGTTCCCAGAAATCGGATGGTTTCGTTTTCAGACAGAACGCATCTATATAGATGATTAGCCATCGAGTCGAAAATGGTTGCTTCCCATCACGTGAAAACCCGTTTTAGCGTATATTCAACCGCTAAATTTATGCGATTTGAACATTTCACACCTGTCTCCATGGCTAAAAATGTGTAGCTCAAATACAGTTCACTCACGGTAACGGGAACACAATGATCCAATGTGCTTCTATTACGCAAAAGTCTCTCGGGCACCCACCTACGATCAAATGACTGATTTGTTCGAACTAAATTATTTGACCTAGCTAAACGATGCAAAAATGCATTGGCACAATTATTGTATTGTATTGTATTCAAGCTTTAGCGAGATGTATATACAAGCTTTCAGCCATGTGCTCATCTGTACCCGTCTGAAAGATAGATTAGGCGGGGAAATCTAACATACCCTAGTCCATATTACGGTTAATTCTCTTCCCTTTTCACTGAAGGAAGACTACAATATATAATACGGTTGCGTCAAGTGAAAATGTTCATATATATATATATGTATATATATATATATATATATATATATATATTACCGGATACGCATGCCTGGCGAGCAGCAAGAACCGCGAAACCGGTCGTATGCTTCCAGGGAAATTTTGTCCAGTCATTCACATCTTACTGATTATCAAATATTCAACCAAGACCATCCGGTCATGTTTGTTGCGGTTAGTAGCATCTAACCCACTTACAAAACATCAAATCATAGCACTGATTCTTCATTGGATTGGCTCTGAAAGAGCTGTCTAGCCAATATATATATATCTTTGATACCAAATCAGTCAGTATTTCTCTTAGGGGATTTGGGAAACCACAATATTCTTCGATATATCAACTATTTACCCATATAATATAAAAATTACAATCTGAAATTAATCAAACAGTTGAATATTCATAGTTGAATATTCATCTATGGAAAGATTCTGACAACCTGCGTCAAACAGGGTTCAGTTTCACCCGGACGCATATTCACACATGTGCCATGCAAATGACCTTGAAACAGTTCTGATGTTTCAGAAAACTGTGGAGAGTCAACCGTCTGGGATGACACCAGCCGAGCGCCTACGCGTTCCAGTTTCCGGACACTGAGCCATGGACCAACAATATCGATCGCCAAGAGGTGCAAATAGAAGCAGTGTGACTCGGAAAGCGAAGACAGTGACTGGTCGATACCCTTTTGATCAATAACATGACAAGTCACCGAAAATTCCAGAATTGACCTTCCTCCCCCCTCCCCTTCGCCTACTGTCCCCATTTTATCCACTCGTTCTGATTAAACTTGATAGACATTGTTGCATTTTCAAACATAACCTCTATGGTCCAATCATATTTATTTCTACATTAGATATAAACACGCACACATAACTGTAGAGGCCTGAAGATGAAGTTACGAAAACAAGCTTACTCGCTATACTGTTTGGCTAATGGCATTTCTATTGTATATTATGCAATCCCATTAATTTCTTTCAACATATGAACTTCCATTTCTGAGAAATGTTTCCTGCTTCTCGGTGTTCGGAGATTACAGCGTGCGATTGCTAGTGTGTCTGTGCTTCAGTTGCGACCGTGATCTGTGATCCGCAATCTGGAACTTCTTCGATCATTACAAAAATGGATTAAAGGTGTCCAATATGGAACGTAAAACTCGGATTCCCAATTATGCAGTCTGATATGGTAAACCATTCCCATCTGTTAGAGTCATGCGGAAGTACAAAAACTAAACTGATGAGACAGGAATTTCGGTACAGTTTGTACACATAGGCCGGAAATATCGTTATCCGGTCGGATAAGCGCGGAACTGGAGAACTAAACTGGTCCTTTCGACAACGGCTTCGACTTAAAATACGCACAATGAACCTCTGTATCATCAATTAGAAGCTAGGACCGCTTTGGGAAACCCCGATCATCGTGATACATATTTATATTTGATCCCCGTTTGTATGGAAATAATTCACTTACAGCATTCTAGTATTCTAGATTTTCGTTCATTTCGGTTAGTAGTTATTATCGTGATCATTACTCTCTTGCCCATAGGTTTCGTTCTATTTCCCGCGGCTGCTCGAGAAAGGTCATTGAGCTGAATGCACGTCGCGATAACCGCCATTGTTGGCGCTTCCGTGGGTCATATAAATGATATAAGCTATAAATTAAGAAAAGAAAAAACAGTTTCCACTTCTGATCAGTCGGGTGTACCTGTGCTCATTTGAAGTCTTCGTCACTCTATATGTGAAAATACCTTTCTGGTTCCAGTAACCTCTTCATATAAGAACACACGTCTGAAAGGGAAACATTATTTTAGAACAGTTTATGCTCCTACCTGTACGGAATTGTAAAAATTCCAGCAACCTCGGTGAGATTTGAACTCACGTATCGACGCCGCCCACACTGGCCCACACCAGCTGAGCTACGAGGCTACAACAATAGAGCTGGTCTATCCACATTCGAATCCGATCAAAGCTACTGAACTTTTTATAATTCAAACATAAAAGTAAATCTGAAAAATAACATAATTGAGCAATAAAAGGGTTTGTTGTTAGTTGGGATGCCTTTTTACACTCACAGTTGCAAATCAACGTCCAGGCCAAGAGAAAACACAGTCAGCACAACACCAGAGTTTCCAGCCACGATCACAGTGAATTTATTCTTTGGAGCCTTCAGACAGACAGATAGAAAGAGAGAACAAGATGAAGCCAGAAAAATAGAAATGATTTACGAGTTGGCGCTGCCACCAAAATACTTCCTTTGGACAAAAGCTAAAAGCGATAAACACTATTAAGTGCTTCTAACCATGGGATTGGAACCAAAAAGCTAACAGCGAAAAAAAATATTACCATGTAAAAGTGTGTGTTGATTTATCAGTTTATATATCCGCGCTAACCGGAAATGATCAGAAAACCGAAGGCTTCGAATCCATCACAATCACCACCACCACCACTAACACCACTTCCAAAATATTTCTAAAATACAAGAAAAAAACTTCAGAGTTAAATAACTATCAATAACCATCCCTTGGGTTATTCATCCCCTTTTAAGAGAATATCGGATACTTGGATTTATGCATCAAAAACATCTTCGGTTGAGTTTTGACTATGCGCTAATGATACAAACATACAGACATCAACACGAAGGCACTTCATGTCTTGATATCAGAAAACCCGGCAGCGCAGTAAAAAAAGACTTCTTTGGCTTTAGCATACCACTCAACGCGCGCCATTCAACTGGTTGTGTTACTTTTGTTTTCACTGTCGCATCGAAATTTATTAATTGGTTTCTGCTCTGTTCTCTCGACTTTTGTATCCCAGGGAATTGTTACAACGTCTAAAGTATATTTATTATTATTCTGCGTTATCCAACTTACATGGTTCTGCCCGAACTGGATTTTCTGCTCGGAGTAAGAAATGAAAGCGTGCCGGGTGGCAGACTGCGCTTGCACAAATTCCTCTTGTGAAGATGACGGTTCTCTCATTAGTCAGCTCCATTATTCGCTCACTGTTTAGTAAATTTGCTAACCTCTCTGATCTACTAATTTATCACGTGCACACAAACACGTGTGTGATATGGCTCAACCAAAACAGACGATTCGCTGGTCAACATACCTGGTTTTCCAAGTTTTCGACAAGACAGAGAAAGAAGCAAAATAAGTCCGGATGCGGGCTTACTAGCCTACATTTCCTCCAATTTGTGCGTCAAGTCCAAAAAGTTTTGTGTGCTTTCTTCTCTTATGGTATTGACTGCCTTACTGTTTCATGTCGACCTAGGTTTTCCCCTCATCGAAACATAATTATTACCAATATACACATTGCCCCTCCTAGCTCCTTTTACAGTTCCTTTATTGAATTCATCGCTCCCCTAGTTGACGACAATTTACTTTTAATTGTTGGTGATTTTAATCACGGATCAACCCAACCTTTAGTTTCTTCCTGTCTCTCGAACACCCACCAGAGGAAATGCTGTTTTGGACAAGATCACTACTAACCAGCCTAATATTTTCTCTCTCCAATTGAAGGCGCCGATCTCGTCTCGTAACCACTGTCTCCTTTATCTTAGACCAAAGTTTTACTCTCGGTTGACTTATCCCGCTTTTATTCAAACAAAAAAAATGAACATAAAATTTCGGAATCTTTCAGCTGACAGACTCCTTCTCCTGCGGAAATCTCTTGCTATCACCTCATCGTGGTTTTCCGTTCAACAATATCCCTGTTCTGTTGAATACTTTACAGAAACAGCTAATGTTATTTTCAATGTATGCTGTCTTATGGAAACAGTTTTGTTCTCACTGGTAGAGTATGCTCTCCGCGGTTAAAAGCTCTTAGAAGACAAAAAGAACTAGCGTTCACGATGCATCAAACAACCACTGTCAAACAGCTTACAATAGAAATGAGGGCAGAGATCAAAAGACTGAATACTTCATTCGTAAATCAAGTTCTGGGAGCTGGAGATGGAAGGCGGTTATGGTAAGGGATTATATTGCTTTGCGGACAGAAGAAACGGACAAAAAACAAAATTATTGACGTAGATAGCC